CTATCTTATAACGATTACATGGTGAGTTGAGCAGTGAAATTGGCTGGATTTATAATCTAAGAAGCTGAAAGGAGTTTATTTGCTGTGTTTTTGCAAGGTTCCCAAATGTGGATATAGAATCAGTATAGTTGACTTGGTGTGGCAGGTTTTATGGTTGAGATTAATGTGTACTAGGAGGAAAGAGGGAGAAAGATTATTTTATTATTGAAATGTGGATGAAAGGAGAAATAGAAGTTGATAAATTTCATTATTGACCAGATTGAGGCCTGGCAAAAGTAACTGTTTTACCTTTCCATATATATTCTTCATCATGTCCCATATGTTCAATTGGGATTTGAGTTGTCAGGCAGGAAATGAGTCAAGGATTAATGTAATTTGATGATATATGTACATGTATCATTATCAGTATTTTCATGTATACTTTTAGTATAAAGTTGGTTAGATTTGCATTTTCTCACTTCCAGTAATTACTTAGTCTAAAAGCTGTCATTACATTATCTGTAGAGAAGACACTGCGATCCACAATAGTATGAAGTCAGCAATGTTTTACATCCTTGTACGAACCTTTGACATTTCTAAGACATGATTTGTGAACATATAGAGAAACCAGCTTGAGTGGGACGAGGAGTTTCAAACTAAAATGCAGAAGGATATTAATTCTTTAGGTCAATTAAGTCCAGTTACTGTTATGATTATGTTGACTGTTGTGTTGAATATATTTTTTTTGTTGTTGCTTAATGTTTTTTAATGTTTGTTGTTGAGTTGCTTATCTTTTGATTCAGAATTGATTTTGATTTTGATATTTTCTCTTTACCTTGATTTATAACATTTTATTTATTTGAAGTTTTATTTATTTCTGCAGGTGTGAAGATTTAACGAGGACGAATTACTCAGGTATGAATCCCAAAATCCCTGCAGACGACTGTGGCAATTGACACTGAAATAGGATTTGTGATGGTAGTTGTAAGAGGAAATTGGGGAAAGACTAAAAAAAAAGTAATCAGAAAGGTGGAATTGAGCAAGGACTACTTTATTTTTCTTATTAGAACTTTGTTACCCTGATTTTCCATTTCTTTACTTTAGTTTTCAGTTTTATTTGATACATAAATGAAAACAGTTTTGTTTGATTCAATGTTTACGGGATATTCATCAATATTTGTCAGATGCTTGTTAAAAGTGCCAAATTTTCCTATATCTTCTTCAAAATATATTTATTTGATTTTGAGAGATTCTGATTTAGATAATTTCTACTTCATTTATTTGTAGCCTGCTCTTTCACATTTTAGCCAGAAAAAGGGAGGAAAAAGAGAAATATGTACTGATCTGAAACTTTGATGATAACTTCTTATTGTTTAATAGAGCTCTGATCCAGGCTCTTATCTATATATATTGAGTAATATCTCATGATTGTGATTAATCAAAGGAAAGTTTATGAATGCTTGGCCAAACATAGGTTTAACATTTCAAGATTTTTTTTTTTTACATGCAAGAACCAAAGTTTTTTTGGTTTGTTCTATTTGCCACAGAAAATATTGTGAATCACCCAGAATAATTACTCTTAATGCTTCATATAATAGCTAAACATAACTTATAGCTGTAATACATATATCATAAACAGTGCTTTATTACACCAGATTTACTCTCATAGCAGAAATGAGAGTAATGTGAAATTTCCTATTTTCAGACTTCATAAGAGAATATGGTGTATGTAGAAGAGTACAAGATGTGTTTATTTTGGTAAGTTTGGTGAAAGTAGTGTACCTTGGTCCTTTAAATTATCGAAAGCATGTCATCACATGTGATAGAATTTTTCCTGTGCAGTGCCGTCCCTGTCAGACTTGTTTCTGCGTGTGTGACAGGCTTTGAGTTTGATTTTTTCTATGTCTTTTCCTGTTTGTGTACCATTGCGGGGAGAAGTTATTTGTACAGTGTTTCACAAAGAATGGATCACAAGACTATGTGTGCCTGGGCTCCATAGATAGCACTTTGTACAGGGATGATGTTATGAACAGATAGAATGTTGTGCTTGTTGTTTTCTGAAGAGCAAAGTTGTATGAAGTTTTTCATTCCTGTGATACTTCTAGGTATGCAATAGGAAAAATTGTTATTCATCACAAATTCATTCCTCTTTTGTATGTTCCATGCATTGTTACTAAGTACTAATAATAGTACTAGAATATTTCTTTTGGGAGAGTTGAAACCAATCTTTTGGATTGGAATTGTGTGCTGACACCCAAGAAGTTAAGGTTTGGTACTTTGTACCATAAGGCTCAATTTCTGGGTTTATATATTTTTCAGTTGATTATGTTAGGAACGATTGTGCATATTGTAAGGCTCATCTATATGTACGAAATCTGTGAGGGCCAATCATTTTTGCAATTGTTTTATTTGATTTGTATTGTGCTAGTCTGTGTATTTCATATTATAAATTATGACTGTTAAAATGGTGTTTTGCACCATAGAAAATTTTTAAACCTTAATAAAAATTGGAAAAAAACAATAGCTTTTTCATGAATCTTTGAAGTTTTGTTAATCTTATTATAAGAAATAGTATTCATCTTGTTCGAGTGCTTATTTTGATATGCCTCAGATGAAGCTACCAAAGCAGAAGGGAAATGAAGTAAACAGAAATAATTAACCTGTCTATAATAGTGTGTGTCATTTGTTAAATTACGTGTCAGAACCTCTTGGCATGTGACTTTTTTTGGTATCTGTAGTTTAGGATATTATAAGATTTACATACAAGTAGTCAAAATTTGAATGGAAAGACATTATAAGAATAATAAAAAGAATGTGCTTGCCTAACACATGAATGGTGTTACCTAAAAAAGGATGCATAACCAGTGAATATTTAGGAGGACAAAAATCAAAAAGAAAGAAAGAAAAAAAGTGAAAGATTAAAGAGGGAAGAAGGAAACTGAGAAAGAATACACATGGCTGAATTTAGAAGAATCTTACAGTACTGTAAAGTATGCTAACATGTTTTATTGTAATTTATTTTTACAATAGGGCCAAAGAGTAGTCCAAGATTGGAGATGGAATCGTCTCTTCTGGTCTAACACTTTCACACACACTTTTACACACACCCATACATATGGAAAATAATGGTAATTAACAAAGAATGATTATGTTGGTAGCAATAATACTGAACACTGAAAAATGAACAGGGTATGATAAATGATATGTATTTATAATGAACAATAATGCTAATGCTAATATGAATAGTATAATAACAATAGCAACAACATCAGCATCAATAAGAATAATAGTCGCAATGATGATAATATCAACCATAATAATTGTAATGATAATGATAATGATGATGATGATAATGATAATGATAATAACAATGATAATAATAATGATAAATAATATACTACTAACTATACTACTACTACTACTACTATACTACTACTACTTACTACTACTACTACTACTACTACTACTACTACTTACTACTACTTATACTACTACTACTGACTCTTACTACTACTACTACTACTACTACTACTACTACTTACCACTAACTACTAACTACTATACTGATACTACTACTAAACTAGCTACTACTAGCTACTACTACTAATACTTACTACTACTACTACTACTAACTAACCTACTAACTACTACTAACTAACTACTAACTACTAACTAACTACTACTAACTACTACTAACTACTACTAACTACTACTAACTACTACTAACTACTGACTAACTACTTTACTCAATACTACTTACTTAACTAACTACTAACTACTACTAACTACACTACTATCTACTACTAACTACTACTAAGCCTACTACTACTACTTATACTACTACTACTACTAAACCTATCCTACTTAACTAACTACTTAACTACTCTAACTCACTACTAACTACCTACTAACTACTACTAACTACTACTACGTACCTTACTAGCTACTAACTAACTACTACTAACGTACTACCTAACTAAGCTACTAAACCTACTAGCTGCATAACTACTACTCAACTACTACTTCAACGTACGTACTAACTACTAGCTAACTAGCTACTAAAGCCTACTACTCCTTCAACTAAATGAACTAACTGTACTACGTGAACTCTACTAACGTACTTAACTGAACTTACTACTAAGCTACTACTTACTACTACTAAAATGGATACGTACTATAACTACTACTAACTACTGACTAGACTAGCTTACTAGCTACTGCTAACATACTACTGAACTATCTAAGCTGAACTACGATAGCTACTACTACTAACTACTACTAACTTACTACTTAACTACGTACTTAACTACTAGAGCTAAACTACCTACTACTACTAGCTAACTACTCTACTCACTATTACACTTAAACTACTAACTAAACTACACTACTCACTACGGTGACTTTGGCGGCATCGTACTGATCACCGCTGTGATCATTACCTTAGCTACTGACACGTAACTAATGGCGTGATGAGCGAAGACTACATTTACGATTTGTTACTCACGCTCCTCAGTTCGGGTCATCCAGTTCACTTCGGACTGCTTAACTACATATGTCACTACTCGACTGGGTGGAGACCTCTACTCGCAGATAACCTCTGCATCGTCAGACTCTGATGTCAGCTGACAGCGCTGTTAGAAGATACATCTGAACGCTACTGACTCGTACTTAACTATCATACTTAGCTCAACTCTCAGCACTGATCACTACGTACTTGTAGCCGTACATGATAGATCGAACTGTTGTTGCTATACTGTACGTACTAGCTGACTCGACGTTTCTTGGATACTAATCTAGTCCTGTAAACTACTGCTCTGAGCAGTTATCTGTGACCACGTACTCACTCTTACTGCTTACTAACTACTACTTGCTGTCTTAGTTCTTGGGAACTACTTCATATCAAGTACACTACTAAGACGTACTAGCTTCTTACTTACGTGGACGTAGTCGTCGCCATCTATGTCCGTCGGAGAAATGAACTTACTACTGAACTCAGCGCTGTGTAACTGAACATTAGACGTTGAAGCTAGCGTACTAGAGCTATACTGAGCTAGGGCGTGCAACGTGAATTCGACACTCCTGACTACTGAACTTATACTACTCATGAACTACTACACTGAACTGGTTACTACTTACTACTTCCACTTCGACTGCAGATGTTGACTTGTATTGACTGCACTGGTGCAGCTACTGCAACATACAATGCAGTCGTAATCTGCGATGTATGCTTACTACTGTACTTACTGACTACTGACGTGACTGTGAGACAGTACGTAGTGACTCATCTGGTTACTAGCCACTGATACTGTACACTTAGCTATGACTTACTCTTAAGCTACGCTACTATATTGCGTACTGTCACTGTAAACTACTGATCTATTTACGTCTCAACTGTACTGTACTTCAGTGACTGACGTACTAACCTTTACCTACGTCTACTACTTCTAACATACTAGCTCGACTACTACGGGTAGCTACGTACTTGACTAGAATACTACTAGTTCTCCAGCTAATCGTACTCACTACGATGACTACTGTCATACTACTTGACTGTTAGACTCACTACTACTGAAGTCACTACTACTACCACTAGGCTACTTACAGCCTTACTACTACTCAACTACTAGACTGAGACTCACGCTACTGACTACTACTTACGTCCACTCGGACTTACTGAGCTTACCAACTTTACTCACTAACCTACTTCGTAACCCTAACTTCTAAGAACTATCTTACCGGACTAGACTACTAACTACTTAGCATACTGACTCAACTACGTATCTAATACTTACTACTCTACTTCTACTAACTACTACTACTCACTAACTACTAGTATCTACACTAGACTGACTACTGAGTACGGTACATGGGTACTACTGGACTGACAACTACGTACTGACTACTGACTGAAATGTGTATACTTAACTACTAATACTACTACTCTCATACTGATTACCTACTACTACTACTGACGTAACTACTACTGATCATACTGATAGAACCTAACATACTACTACATACTACTTCACTACTACTCAGAACCTACTGACTAAACTGACTACTGACGCTACTAACCTCACTGAACTCAACACTAACTACTACTACATATCCTCGTGAAGCTACTTACTGTGCAGGACTAAGCACACTAACTACTACTACTTACTAACCTACTATGAGAGAGAGCGTTTGACGTTCCGCTCGACTACTCACTAACTGACATTCACTATGGCACTACTCTACGTTACACTATTACACTTACTCTCACTACTAGTCCTGATTCCGCATACCTAGCCATACTAACTCCTTGAACTACTACTCACTCCATCTATAAACTACTCATTCGGCTACCTACTCGCCTTGCTACTTGAGGAAGGTCTGACATGGACTGCACTTACTATAACGTACTACTCATCTAACTACTATACTACTCACTCACTACCAACTACTACTACTGACTCAAACTAACTAACGTACTAGCTTCCAACTACTGACTACTAATCTAACTACTACTCACCACTCACTTACTAACTTTACTACTAACTCACTTACTACCTCTCCAACTGAGGCTCACTGACTCACTATCATCTAACTACTACTTACTACTATCTGACTTAATACTTACTAACCCTACCTGACTACTACTAACTCTAACTCACTACCTACTCGAAGCTACTCCTTCCAAACCTTCATAACTTACATACTAGACTACTAAAACTACTACTAGCTACTACTACTAGCTGAACTACTGCACTCACTATCCCTCTATCTAAACTCTCACCCTCTCTACTACCTACTGCGCCCGCAACTACTAGTACTACTAAACTACTATACTACTACTACTACTACTACTACTACTACTACTACTACTGAACTACTACTAACTACTACTACTACTACTACTACTACTAACTACTACTACTACTACTAACTACTACTACTACTACTACTAACTACTACTACTGACTACTAACTACTACTAACTACTACTAACTACTAACTACTACTATACTAACTAACTACTACTACTACTACTACTACTACTACTACTACTACTACTAACTACTACTACTACTACTACTAACTACTACTACTACTACTACTACTACTTACTACTACTACTACTACTACTACTACTACTACTAACTACTACTAACTACTACTATACTACTACTACTACTACTACTACTACTACTACTACTACTACTACTACTACTACTTACTACTTACTACTACTACTACTACTACTAACTACTACTACTACTAACTACTACTACTACTAACTACTACTTCTACTAACTACTAACTACTACTAACTACTATTACTACTACTACTACTACTTACTACTACTAACTACTACTACTAACTACTAACTACTACTACTACTACTACTACTACTAACTACTACTACTAAGTAACTACTACTACTAACTACTACTACTAACTACTACTACTAACTACTACTACCAACTACCAACTACTACTACTAACTAGCTATTACACTACCACTACTACTAACTACT